TTTTTTTGGTTTTTCGAGACAGGGTTTCTCTGTGTAGCTTTGCGCCTTTCCTGGAGCTCACTTGGTAGCCCAGGCTGGCCTCGAACTCACAGAGATCAGCCTGGCTCTGCCTCCCGAGTGCTGGGATTAAAGGCGTGCGCCACCAACGCCCGGCTAGAGTCCCCAATCTTGAATGGGTAAGGCACCACCGGGCGATTCAGTTGCTCCCGGTAGGCATCAGCCAGTGGTTTCCACACCGTCTTTTGTACCAGTTGGAGGGCTTGGAGGTGTGCTTCCAGGGTAGGGCTAGTGGCAAAAGAGGAGATATCAGGGGGAAGGAAATTTACAATTGGTGGGGGAGCCCCATATATAATCTCAAACGGGGTTAGGCCGTGAGGCCCAGGAGTATTCCGGGCTCGGTAAAGGGCTAATGGGAGTAGGGGCACCCAATCTCTAGTGCCAGTTGCAAGCGTTAATTTGGTTAAAGTCTCCTTAATGGTTCTATTTGCATGTTCTACCTGTCCTGAGCTCTGGGGGCGGTATGCACAATGAAGTTTCCAATCGATCCCCAGTAGCCTGGCCACCTTCTGACTTACCTGGGAGACGAAGGCGGGCCCATTGTCTGACCCCAATATCTGGGGCATTCCATACCTTGGTGAAGTCAAGTTCCCAATGGACTCCGGGGTGGTGGCCTCGCAGGCGGCTCCCTCTGCTCAGATGGGCTTTTCCTGGATTAACTTGGGCACAAGCAGGGCAGCTGGAAGTCACCTGTAGGAGGACCTTCCACCATCCGGAAGGCCTGGGTCAGCGTGATCAGCTCTGCTCTTTGGGCCGATGTTCCAGGCGGCAGTGGTGAGGCCCAAAGTACCTCTGATTCGGTGGTGACGGCTGCTCCGGCCCTCTGTTCTCCTTCTTGGAGGAAGCTGCTCCCATCCATGAACCAGATAAAATCTGGGTTCGACAGCGGTTGATCTGTTAGGTCGGAGCGGGTGCCATGGGCCTCCGCCAGAATCTGGAGGCAATTGTGCTCCTCGGATGGGTCTGGCAAGGGCAGCAGGGTTGCAGGATTGAGGGAGACAACTGGTCCGAACACCACTCAGTCTGTGTCTAACAACAGAGCCTGGTAGTGGGTCATCCTGAAATTTGAGAGCCATCTATCTGGGGGCTGTCGGACCAGAGCTTCCACCGCATGGGAGGATAACACAGTTAATGGCTGTCCCAAAGTCAGTTTCCCTGCATCCTTGAGCAAAACAGCAATGGCAGCTACCATGCGCAGACAGGGGGGCCATCCTGCAGCTACCGGGTCTAATTTCTTGGATAGATAAGCTACAGGTCTCTTCCATGGCCCCAGTCTCTGTACCAGCACTCCTTTTGCAAAGCCTGAGTTCTCGTCCACGAACAGTTCAAAGGGCTTAGTCAGATCTGGTAGGCCAAGAGCTGGTGACTCAAGCAAGGTTCTCTTAATTCGTTGAAAGGCCTGTTGTTGCTCCTCTCCCCAGTGGAACATGATCCCGGGCTTGGTGAGAGGATACAGAGGGCCAGCCATCTCGGCAAAACCTGGGATCCAGAGGCGGCAGTAGCCGGCAGTACCTAGAAACTCCCACACCTGGCGGGGGTTCCCTGGAGGGGGTATGGAGAGTATGGCCTCCTTTCTTGCTTTCGTGAGCCATCTCTGTCCTCCCTCTAAGGTGTAACCCAGGTAAATGACTTTGCTTTGGCAAATCTGGGCCTTGAGCTTAGTCAACAGGTCTCAGCCCAATAATGGGTGAGGGCAATCGGGTATATGCAAAAAAAGTGGGTTACCTGTCCAGATGCCAGCTGCACCTTTCTCTCGGTGGTCCATCGATACCTCCTGCTACCTGTGGCCCCCTGGACCAAAGCTGTGCGGTCACTGAGAGAGCCTCCGGTATGGGTCAGGACTGAATGTTGAGCCCCGGTGTCCACTAGGAAGGTCACTTGCTGCCCCCCAATCTTGAGAGTTATCCTAGGCTCAGGGGGGGCTCCTGGCCTTGACCTCCCTAATCCTCCAGATTGAGGAGGTCCGTGGCCCTTGGCTTAGTTCTCCGAGACCCTTGAGGCTTCTTTGATCAGTCACGAGCCCAATGTCCTCTCTCTTTACAGTAAGCACACTGGTCTTTGTCAAGCGGTGTCCTTCTTTGATCTCCTGTCCTAACTCCCTCTCTGACCTGTCCCTGAGACATTACAGTGGCCAGGACTTTACTTATTTCCCTATGACGTTTTTTATCTCTCTCTTCTCGCCTCTGCCACATCCTCTCCTCCCGCTCTTCGGGAGTTTCTCTCTTATTAAACACTTTCTCTGCCTCTCTCAATAAATCTGACAAACTGAATGAATGCAATCTTTCTAGTCTCTGTAACTTGGCACTTATATCTGGACTTGACTGATAGATGAAAGACAAGATGACACCCGGCGCCTGTCCTGGATCTTCCGGATCGTACGGGGTATACATCCTATAAGCCTCTCTAAGTCTTTCCAAGAACGCTGCCGGCATCTCCTCCTTTCCCTGGATCACATTCCTAACCTGAGCCAAATTGGTAGGGCGTCTAGCAGCCCCTCGGAGACCCGCCAAGAGCAACTGGCGATAGAGACGTAGGTGCTCCCTACCTTCTGGGGTCGCGAAGTCCCAGTTCGGGCGGGTGAGGGGAAAGGCTGCATCAATGATATTAGGCAATTGGGTGGGTCTTCCATCGTCTCCTGGAACCTGCTTCCAGTTGTAAAGATCAGAGGCCAAAAATGGCCAGTATTGGAGCTGGTGATTAGGGCCCTCCTGAAGGGGGAAGGCCCTGGATTCTTTAGCTGGTTCGTCGCGCCTTCCTCCTAGGCGACCGGCAATTGGGGAGGGAGCCAGAGCCTCATCCTCCTGCTCTCTCTGTAGAGGCTGTTCGGGGGCTGCTGCAGGGGACTGCCGGTCCCTCCGGCGCTGCTGCAGGGGCCGCCGGTCCCTCCGGCGCCTGATTCCCCGGGTATGGCGGTGGGTCCTCTGTCAGGAGGTCAATAAGAGGTGAATTGGGGTCTGGGGGAAGGACAGGGGCCTTAGGGGGATCCTTTCGTGGGAGAACAGGGTAAAGGGAGGAGGTAGGAGGGGTGAGAGGGAGTGGTGATGCTGTGGAGGGGCTGTAACACTCGTGGCGGGGTGGCTCGGCGCCCATAGGTGGCGCCGCCCCTCCCGAGCCACCTTCCCCAAACCGGGCCTTCCCAGCCGTCCCGGAGCCGGTCGCGGCGCACCGCCACGGTGGAAGTGCGCCTGGCAGTGGCCGGTCGCCGGCCAGGGGGCGGTCCCAAACCCGGCTTCCTCGGCCCCGGGATTCGGCGAGTGCTGCTGCTGCCGGGGGGGCTGGAGGGGAGAGAAACGGCCTAACCCATGGAGGGGGTTCTGTCGCCAGGAGTCTCCATACGGCGATGTATGGGACCTGCTCCGGGTGGCCATGGGGACTCGGAGCGAAAACTTTTCCCTCCACCTGTGAAATAAGACTGAGGTTAAAGGTTCCCTCATTGTTGGCTCGTGTCTTCACGTCTGACCACTGGTTAAGCGTGAGGCTCAGGGGGGTGGTGACAGTCTGTCCCATGGCTGTTTCTAGGAGGAGAACGGTTAAACAGAAAACAAAGAACGACAGACAAATGCAAATAAGACTAACACGCACTGCGCGGCTTCGGTTCCAAACCGAAAGCAAACCAGAAGGAGACTGCGAGGGTCCGGACCCCTCATCTCCGACCAACACCACGTATCCCTCGGATACATGAGTGGCCCCGAAAAACCGTGCCCCAGAGGGGACTTCAGACACCCGTGGAATGTCTTCCAGCGTCACGGTGGGCGAAGTCCGAGCTCGTCACCTCCTTCAGCCCCCACCGCCACAGACCGATTATCAGGCGCACAGACAAACAGACAACACTCAGACAGGACAGGGATGACATATACCGAGGCCGGCTGGCTTACCTCCTGATGGTGGGTCGGTGGTCCCAGGGAGGGGTCTCTATCTCGGTGGAACCTCCAAATGAAAGACCCCCAGGGGAGATCTTCCTTCAGGAGAGACCCCAAACCCAAGGAACATGCCGAAACCACAGATCAGATGCAAACAGCAAGAGGGTTTATTCAGATACACAGGTACCTGGGGCGAAGTCTCTTGGAAGACTTGCGCGCCTTCCTAGGGCAAGGGGGACTTTTTATAGGATCCCAGGGGCAGAGGCGCGGTTACAGAAGCGAGAAGCATAGTTACAGGGTTCCTATTGGTTGTTTTAAAGAAGGCCAGCGTGAACTTGGGGACGTATTTTTAATTCTCGGAAATTTGATGTGTGTGGCTGACTTGGCCTTGCCTAGGGTACAGTGGGCGTTTTTCCAGCCCAGCTGCTTATTCCTCAAGGCCAGGGGGCCAGTTATAAATATCCTGATTTGACTCAACGGTTTTTCTCCCAAGGCCGGTGGCCAACCACAGTTATCTCTCTCTCAAGGCCGGATGGCTGGCCACAGTTATCTCTCTCAAGGCTGGGTGGCTGGCCACAGCTGTGAACTCCTGTTTTTCTGGTTCTTGCCTTTCAGAATGGCGTTTCTTAGGCTAAGTTATTGGGACGGGGGGGGGGATTTCATTGGCCCAACGCCCCATGTCCTCATAATGGAGTGGGGGTCTTTCAATGTAACAGCCTTATTAAATAAGAAACACAGAGCCAAATGCAGAGTTAAAAGCCCAAGAGGTCAGAGCAGTAGCTAAGAGCTGATACTAAAAACTTTTTCTTACCCTTTGCTGCCACTGCCGTCCTTCCCCTGAGAAAGAGATCACATTTATTGCCAACCTGATTTAAATAAAAATATTGGTTTTTCTCTGTCACACACCAGAGGGCTCTTCTGATATGGGACAAAGGAATCTCTCAACTTTTTTTTTCTTAGCAATATGTTTGGGTTTAGAGAATGAGTGAGCCAATTTCATCTCCCAAGCCAGCTTGGTATATTTGGGAATTTGTGTGTGGCTTCTTTTACTACGTTCTGCTGGGGGGGGGTACTGTATCTTATGGGGACATAAAGAAAATTTTAGGATTATGGAGTAGTCCGTGAAGGTGTATCATCTGAGTCAGTTGCCTTGAAACCGTTCTGGATGTTGGATCATCTGGGCCATGGTGTCATCCGAGAACTTTCAGGGGGTCTTGGCTGGTCAAACCTGATGTATCTTAATCTGGAACAAATCCATAGCCTCTGACTTTCTGTGGAAACAAGCACAGAGCCTTTTTTCCAAAGCAGCATATCCTTACATCCAAATTTGGAAGTCAAGGTACCTTTAAAATACACATATTGGCTTAACTCAACAGCTTTTACAATAAAATGTTTTTCTGCGGTTAAGAAAATCAAAGACAACACAATTCAGATTCTCTGTGTAATATCCATCTTTACATGGCTTATTTTTTATATTATCTTTACTGTCTCTTTAAAGACTTTATTTTTAAAAAACTGTTTATATAACTGCACATGTTTCTTTTTCTCTCTCTTTCAAGCCTGCGTACATGTTTACACACATCGTAAACCATTCAAAGTCTTGCTCCATCTGAATCTGTCTTATTGTGAATCTATTGTTTTAAACTGCAACATTACTAGGGCTAAAATAGCAGCTTTGGCTGGTGGTTCTGCCCACCTCAGCTTCCCAACATGGCAGTGGTATGTTTCCCGCCATCTCTGGGAACCATCAACTTTTAGAAACAGTGGTTCTATGCTTCTATCAAAGCAGTGCGTAGCCCAGAAACCTCTTTTTTTGTAATAGCAAAGGCAGCATAATGTAGATGCCTCATTCCAGCCATACCCGCAATATTAGCTCAAATCCGCAGTCTGCCACTAACTTGAGAGAGACAACTAGGAAGCTGTTTTAGCTCCATTTCAGAATCTTTTTTCTCAGGTTTTAGGTGGAAACTCTTGCCAACCCGGTGGGTGCCATTTATAGCTGAAGTTTTCTCCAGGTCCTGCCAAGCCCCAGCAGTCCAACAGCCCACTTATAAAATAATCACTCAGATGCTTATATTATTTAAACTGTTTGGCCTAATGGCTCAGGCTTCTTGCTAGCTGTTCTTATATCTTAAATTAACCCATTTCTATTAGTCTATAAGTTGCCATGTGGCTCATGGCTTACCGGTACCTTACATCTTACTTGTCATGGCGGCAGCTAGCAGCATCTCTCTGCCTCAGCTGTTTTATCACCCCAATCAGCGTGGGTTATTTAATTTCTCTGAGTAAGGGTTTCCTCTACGACTGCAGGAAAGGTCTGAACTTGATTTGCTGTGGGGGCCTGCCTGAGGCCCCTCTGGGCGTTTCCCAAAGACAGAGGCAAAGGATTACCTTGTCTGTCCCTTGTTGATCTACATTTGTTGGTCCAGTGTTTTCCCTTACCACACCTTCTGCATACTCCAGAAGGAAGGGGCATTCTGTTGCCATTGTTCCTTGAAGTAACATTGTTTCTAGGAAGGCCCTGTTTACAGTCCCTTTTCAAATGTCCTTGTTTTCCACATCCAAAACATCTGACATTCCTCAAACCTCTTGAAATTGCTTCTCCTATCCACATATCATCATGGTCAAGAGAATCAACATTAACAGTGTCTCTAATCCAAACTTCCAATGGTGCAGATCTTGTCTTTAACGGCCTGATTATTCTCTTGCATGCTGCTTTCGTATTCTCAAAAGCCAAAGATTTGATTATTATCTGTCCCATATAATGTCTCCTTCTTGATTATTCTACTTGTAAGGCTTTCCTTTAAATTTCCCAGTGCCCTCTTGACTTGAGCCTCCATAGTCTACACAGCTCTTAGCTCTGCTATTTCCAGGCTCATACTAGAATGGCCCATTAAGCTCTGCTTACAGCATTCATCTGTTTTTCTATTCCAAAGTCTCAAAATCTTCCACATTCCTCCAGAAAGCCACATTTCCATTTCTATCACAGTAATAGCTTAGTCCCTGGTACCTATCTCTGTCTTAGTTACTTTTCCATTGCTGTTACAGAACACTATAAGCAAAGCATTTTATTGAATCAATCACTTAATTTGGTGCTTAAAGTTCTAGGGGGAAAGGAATCCAAAACTATAATTGCAGGCAGCATGGCAGCAGGCAGGTTGACATGGCATTGGAGCTGCAGATGAGAGCTCACATCCCCATCCACAAACAAAAAAATAGAGACCACACCAAGGATGACCCTAATCTTTTAAAACATCAAGAAAAACTTTCCATGATATAAACAGACTAAAAATTCATATCCAGTAAATTATGAATAAAGACACAAGTAAGCCAAGCCAGAGTATATTAGAAAAGAATATGAAGCCATAAGTACTAAAATATAAAGTACCAACTAAAAACAAGAAAACAATGACTGCAATCAATGCACACATTTCAATTATTACTTTAAATGTTAATGGCCTCATTTCTACAATCAAGACACAGAATGGCTGAAAAAAAATACATGCCTCTAAGAAATACATTTTAGTCTTAAAGATAGGGACCACCTTAGAGTAAAAGGATAGACAAAAATATACCAATCAAGTGGAACAAGAAGTAAACAGGTATCACTCTCCTAAAATATGACAAAATATACTTCAAACTAAAACTAATCAGAGGTTTTATCTTTAATTTATTGTATTTTATTATTATTCTTTAGATGCCTGTTTTTCCCTAAGGGGAGAGAGAGAGGAGAAAGACAGACCAGAGGAGATGTTGCCAGCCTCTCCCATGAGAAGCAAGATACTGGTAAGCCACAAGCCACGTGGCAAACATAGATTTATAGAAATGGGTTAATTTAAGATATAAAAACTAGATAACAAGAAGCCTGCATTGGCCATAATTTAAAAATAATGTTAGCCTGTGTGTGTTTATTTGGATATGAGCAGCTGCAGGCCCAAACACGACAAAGGAAAGCTTCTGACTACAAGTAGGTGTGGATTTGGATAGGAGGGGAAGTGGGAAAGATTTTGGAGGAGTTGGGGGAAGGAGAAGACATAATAAGAGTATACTGTATGAAGAAAATCTAATTTTGAAAAGAAAAAGAAAAAGAAATATCTGTATCTATATGGACACTGGAATTTAAATATTAAATTATAAAAATGGTAATAAGGAAATCCTAAAATATTTGAGATTATCTAAAATTTTACTAAAAAATACATAGGTGAAAGAATAATTCTGGAGAAAATTTAAATACAAACATTAGTGAAAGCAGGAAAATTTATATTTATATTACAGAATATAATTTATATTTATTTATATATATTTATATTATAGAATATATATATATCAGAAACATGATATCTAATGCAATCAATTAAGCTGTCTTCTAAAATGAAATTGGAAAAGGAACAAATTAAAGGTTAGCAAAAAATGTAAATTAGAACAGTAATCAGGGAAAATGTAACCATTAATAGAAAAGAAAATCAATAAAGTCAAATAAGCCAGCATTTAATAAAATAAAGTTAATAAACTCCCAGCCACATTATAAATAAGTCATACTTCCTAGTATCAAATATCAAATAAACTGTCAATAATGATTACTTTTAAATAGTAAAATAAGGAAATACTATGAACATCCCTATATCCAAAAGTTAGTAATATAGATTA